GGGCCCTAGAGGCAGGCTGGGGCAGCTGTGCCCTGCCCGTTGGCTCCTCCTGTGTGGTGGAGATAGGGGGAAGGTGCAACTGCAGGGACTTCCCTGGGGAGGTTGCTGGCCAGCAGGGCTGCCTCTTCGCAGGTCTGGCACTGGAGCTGGTGACCACAGGGGAAGGGTTTCACCTGAAGCTTTGGGGAAGGAAGGCCACTTATCCAGCTCATGGCCTGCAACATGCAGAGTTCTACCCCCATGTGGCCACTCTTACTGGTGCTGCGACCCCGCTGTGGTCATGGTGGAGCCTAAATGTCCCTGCTGTCAGACAACTCCCATCTGTATTATATAATACAATCTGATTCCAGGCACATCCCATTGACCTTGCACAATGGATCCCTTGCCTTATTTTAAGTTATGCTAAAAGGAACCTGCACGCCAAATTTGATGGTCCTAGCTCTTATTGTTCCAGAGGAGTTCTTGAACAAACGGACAGACACACATTTCTAATATATGTAGTAGATACTATAAGGTTTTTAAATGTATAACATTTAGTTAAGGATTCAAAGTATGTCTTTTATAGTAATTGTGTGTGGCACAGCACATTAAATAAAGTTGATGAAATAATATAAAACCTAGATAATATGTAATACAATTCTATTTAAAAGAGATACAACTATAATCTATTTGAATTTACCAATTATTTATAAATATATCAGCTAAAAGAGGGGAGGAATTTTTACTTTGTCTTGTATTTGAGTGCTCTTTGTGTACAGTCTGTTTCATTGTTTTACTTGTATAGTTAGTTTTCACTAATGTTTGTGTCTGTGTTCACACAGCAGTGGGGGGAGGGAGCACATTTAAAAATAGAAAAAATTGTTATAAAGTTACATAATTTGGCTGAGGGACATGCTAGTGGCTCCCGCGTCTAACTTGGGTTTTTTTGAATTTTTTGTTTGTATTTTTAATAGAATGTTTTAAGATAACTGTGCCCCTTTTTTATATATCATAAAGGTAAATAGGAAGAACAAAGTGATAACTCTTTTTATAAATGGTGTCTGCTCTAATCGGAACATCTGAATGTGTTTATTGACTGTTAGCATGTGTTCTAACTTGTGTTTTCTGGCAGTATTGTTTGTGTTGGTGGGGACGGAATGTTCAGTGAAGTGATGCATGGTCTAATTGGAAGAATACAGAAGGATTCTGGCATAGATCAGAATAATCCCAAAGCACCATTAGTCCAGAACAATATAAGGATTGGCATTATCCCTGCTGGTAAGAATGAAAAAGGGTTATCTTTCAGTTTACTTAATTTATTGATTAAACAACTTTTTGTAGTTAGGCCTACCTGTAGAATTCAATATGAATAGTAATACTCCATAAAGATATTGGTGGGCCAGTATAGATAGTGATGGCTGCAATGCCTTTTTTGTGGAAGAGGGAATTTGCAAGAGGGAAGGAAGCAAAAATTAAAGTATATAACAATTATTGTAGTACCTAAGAACTGCTTTCTTATATTTAGTATTCTGGGTCTTACATATACTAGTATAAATGTTAATGAAAAAGAAAGGTAAGGAAAAAATCAAACTAACAACCACTTAACTGAAAACATTGTTTTATGAAACCTACTGAATAGAGGCTAAACATCTTGTACAGTAAAAGCACCCCAATATTCTGTATTCAGGTGTTGAAATCCCTTTTGTGATATAAACACAACCTCACCTCCTCTCTGTGCTTCTGCCACAAGAAGCATAGAACCATTGGAAAGCCAGGCTACAGTTTCCAGAGACAGGTGTATCTTTTATGTTCTTCTTGACGTCCTGTAGTCATAAGGCCTGAAGAAGCCCTGCTGCTAGTTTTCTTCCATATCTCAGGGCCTGCCTACGTTAGGAGATATGTTAGCGTTATTTTGAAGTAATAGCTCATAAAATAACTATTTTGTGATAATGTGTCCACACTACAAGGTAGCCTCAAAATTAGTCCAAGGCAGGCTGCCTTAATGTGAACATGTTCCCTTAACTTAAAGCCCCAGGAAACACTGGGGAGAAATTACATGGAATGATTTGGGGAGTGGTAACTTCAAAATAGCAACAGTGGAGCATCCACACTACCTCTATTTTGAAATAAGCATTACTCCTCTTGGAAAGTAGGAGTTGTTGTTTCAAAATAACCAGCCTTTTCTTTTTAAATAAGAAAAGTGTGTACACTCCATGAGTTATTTCAAAATAACTCCCTAGTGTAGACCAGGGTCTAATGAAGTGCTTGTTTATTCTAATTCACTAAGATTGTGAATTTGTTTAATCTGGAGAAGGGAAGACTGAGAGGGAACATAACAGTTTTCAAATACCTAAAAGGTTGTTAACTGGAAGAAAGAGAAATTTATTCTCCTTAACCTCTGAGGATATGACATGAAGCAATGGGCTTAAATTGCAAAGGAGATTGTGGAATCTCCATCATTGGAGATTTTTAACAGCAGGTTAGACAAACACCTGTCATGGATGATCTAGATGGTGTTTGGTTCTGCCATGTGTGCAGGGGACTGGACTTGATGACCTTTAGAGGTTCTTTCCAGTTCTATGATAGCCAGCCACCTTTTTCAGTTTAATTCTCATTACTACTGATGAGAAGCATTGTTCAAAGCTCTTTCTTCCAAGTGAAGTCTGCTGGCAATGTAGATTTAACTACAAAAACTAAACATTTTTGACACTTGAAAAGTAATGACCCATATAACCAAAAAAGGAGATTCCTAAGGCTCTATGCAAAATGTAGTCTGGGCTAGAGGGAGCTTTCCCTCTTCCAGAACTGGAGTTCATATTAATAATTCCCAGGGGTGTTTCTAGAACTGCAGATGTGTGTGGACATACAATTCAGGTAAGGCACAAAATGATGTGACAGTCACATGACTGCCTTTGAGTAAATGACTAAAAGTTGAAACTAGAGTGTAGTAAGAAACAAAACACTGAGTATATTGATGGTAAAATACAGAAAAATTCTGGATTTCAGTGTTTTGATATTTATGTTCTGTTAAACTTACCCAACTCTCACTCCTGTTCATTTAGTCTTATAGTCCAGTGAGGTACCGTATATCAGATGTGCTTTCTAGAAATCACTCTGTAGAGATTTGCATGTGCTCCTCCTAATAATATTAATGAAGACCTCAAACAAAATCTGAATTGCTCTCACTCCTTACTCTTTGCTCAAGTACAAGTTCCATTGACTTCAGTCAAGGTTGGTGTGTGTGTGTGTGTGTTTGTCTGAGTAAAGTGTTCAGGGTTTGACAGGTTTATTTGAAAACATTTATCTATTTATGGTGTGGATGGCCTAAAGAAGATGCAGCTAAAAAGCATAGCTCTCATAGTTAGGTTACGGCACCCTTAAACTTTAGGGATAGGAACAAATTAAAGTGGAGTTGAAATGTTTTTGGTTTTGAAGTACAGTATATGAGTTTGTCACCGTCTGACATTTGTTTAATGTACACACTTGCGATTATGGGTTTTTTTTAAACAATCTTCACTGATGTTAAAGTATTAAACTTCAGGTTTCTTTCTTGTGTGATCCTTTATAGTCTGTTTGCTACAAATTTGAGTTGTTTCTTTTTGCATTCATTTCGTCCACTGTTACAGCCATTTTTATATGTGAATTTATATTGTATTGTCCTGTAATTTCCAAAGTTTTGTATTACACATTCTACCAATACAGTCATATTTTTACTTTTAGCTCTGAAATAGCAATTTTGAAAAAATATATTTAATGAACATGTTTAAGGAAGCTAACCTCTAAATTTCAGAGAGTTAGTATGTTTCAGCAAAAACAGTGAGGAGTCCTGTGGCACTTTGAAGGCTAACATATCGTGCATATGACAAAGTGGATTCCAGCCCATGAAAGTGTATGTCTAAATAAATTTTAGTCTTTAACGTGCTACAACCTCTACATTATTTGTTGCATATTCTTTTAGGGAACAAACTTAAAAATATAAATCCTTATGCATAATAATTGATTACGCATTTATGGTTTTTTGGTTTAGCTTTTACTGGTTTAGCTTTTACTGTTGAAAATTAGGAGGAAGGGCAGGGAGTCTTAATGTTTTATTTTCAATTTCTTATCTTTGTTTAAAGAGATGCTTATGTATAATGTATACTTCAGTAATTCATATTTCTGTTCATTATGCAAGTCTTAATGCTCAATTTCAGGTCTCCTAGCTCATAAGATGTCCATGTGTGAAATGGTCAGTGACCTGTTTGAGAAAAATTTGCAGGGTTTCTCTTCCAAACCCTTGTGAACTCACTCAGTGGTAGTCCTGGTGTTAATCTGAGTGCAGTGTATATTAGATGAGAGTTTCTGATGAGACAAAATTATGGCTACAAAAATATTATATGTTGTCATTCTGGAATTGGAAATCTATTTCTGTAATATTTAATTTAGTGTGCGTGTAGCTATTCATTTTTCCTTGTTCAGATTAGACACATGTATTGAATTTTTATAGCAAACCGTTCTGATTTAGAAGGGTGTTTTGGAGACAAGGGAGGTAACATTTAAAATCTTAAGTGGCTAGCAAATGCATATTGTCTAGCATCTGTTACATTTATTCAAAAATCTTTATTCAAGTTCTATATGGTAGAACATTTGTTCCATACTGTGGTTCTGGGGAGTCAAGTCACAGTTCCAAGACTATTGAGGAATGGGAGAAAATGCATCAAAATTCTAAAAAAACAGCTCTTGGCAGTGCCAAGCAGCAAGGCAGTGCCATTGACTCCTGGAAGAATAGAGTTCTGTCTGCAGCAGTATGCCTTCTGTGGCCTGCAGCATGTCAGACTCCCCATGGAGGTTGCAGGATCTTAGTGGTGAGATGGGCCGTGGGAAGAGGATCTCCCACTCCCCATCAGTGAATGGTGTAGCGGGCCAAATAATCTAGTGTGTTAGAAGTGACCCGCAGGCCACTTGTCCATTTCTTTATTTTTGAATTCATTGGTTGCGTGGGACCCCCTGCAATGGAGGCCCTGTCTCTGTGCAAGTATGCTGAGTACATATTGATTATTAATATGAACCTCATCACCCACCTCCTTTCGAAGTAGACTGATAAAATGGAACATTCATTTGTGAAAAGTCAGCCTGAATGCAAAGTACAGGAAGTTCATGTTAAGAGCTGAGCCCAAAGGGAACTATAGAATGAAAAGGTTCAGTAACTGTTAGTAGATTAGCTGGTTTATAGTGTATTCTGTGTTGTTTCACTTGTGCTGTGGGACAAAAGGGAAACTTTACAGTACAATCTGTCATGCTATGCATGCTTTCCAATTAATAATAAAGAAAATGTTCAATTGAAGTTTTGAAGGAAATTCAGGATATACCCAAGAATTGAAAAAAACCATTTTAAGAGCAGATAAAAGTAGGATGATGCATTGTAGCAGAAGCCATTGTTCTAGTTGAAGTTTTTGTTCCTAGTTTAACTCTGTGTGTTGGAAAGCAAGACTATGTCTATGCTATGTGAAATATGGATGCTGCCGCAGTCAATTTTTCCAGGGTTCGAATTAATTTGATCTTTACTAGACCCGTTAATTGGAATTGAAGGTTGCCCTTGTTGGCACCTGCACTCCTGCTCTTCATGAGGAGTGTAAGAGATGTTGATGGCAGTATTTGCTCCCATTGACCTTCCCCTGTGTGGATGGCCCAGATACACGATTAAGATCCGTTGACTCCAGCTGCATAATTAACATAGCTGGAGTTGTGTATCTTAACTCAACTTTCCCCTTTAGTGTAGACCAGTCCTAAGTGTTCATACTACTTACAAACCTTTCCTTTTCCCTTCCTTCCTTCACACAGCTTTGAAGAGCATAAAGCTTTAGAACAGTGTTTCTAAAACTTTTTAAGACCGAGGATCACCAAACAATATTTTTTTTATGGAGCACACCAGGGATTTTTTTTTGTTGAGAGAGGAAAAAAAAGCCCCCAGGGAAAAGTTGTTGAGGAAAAAAAAAAAGGAGGCTTGTCCCGTTAAGGGTGGCCATTCCCAAGGGAAAAGTTGTTGAGCAAAACAACCAAAAAAGGACAGGGAAAAGAAGTTAAGCAAAAAACTGAACAGTTTTCCCTTTTATCAGGAGAGCAGGAATTGCCCTTTTAAGGGTGGCCATTTTGAACACTGTTCTTAGCAGCATACCTTCAACTGCCTTGTGGCACACCGGTGTGCCATGGAACACACTTTCAGAAACACTGATTTAAAATGTCCCCCACTTAAGCGTATGCTTTTAAAAAACTTTCTTTTTCACATCAAATTGAAGCTT